CAAACACTTTCTCTTCTATTTTGTGTGACCAAAACAGGATTTCTCTCTAGTAGTTGACTTGGCTGCCTCAATCATTCCCACTTATCCATACACAATGTCCATTCTTCTCATTATCAAATTTGAAGCTGAATTTCCTTTTGTTAAATGTCTTGGTTCATCAACTGAGGAGCACAATTAACATCCATGAGTATAATATAAGACCCCAATCTATTTTGTAAATAACTGCTTTAATGACAATGCAACCTTCTACGCTTAGAAAAAGCTTTACATTCAAACATGATGTTGATATATTTGTGTGTGTGCATGTTTAAATTGATTTTATTTTTTTAAAAAAAGTAAGGATAATCTAAGTGATAGGTTTTCATCCTCCAAGCAAGTAGTTAAAGGTTTGATTTCCAACTTTTACATATATATTAAACTTAATTAGATTTTAAAAATAATTAAAGGATAGTACTACCTCCGGTCCTTAATATAAGATTCTGTTTGACTTTTATTTGGTTCTAAATATAAGACCCAAATCCACTTTGTCTCTCATATGTATGTATTTTTTTCCAAGATAGTCCTTCTAATAATTGTAATCTTAGCCAATATAGTTGATTAGTAAGATATTTTAGGAAAACAATACCTATTTATTACAAATAACTAACTTAACTTCTTTGCTTAATTTCCTGAAATTAATCAACTGGGTTTTATAATTAGGACCGGAAGTAGTATAGTTAAAGAAAGATGAGTTGAAAGGAAATTCCTATAATTTTTCAGAAAGAAACTGGGCGCTATTATCAACAAAGATACTCCTAAAATTTGGAAAAGATGCCGCTCTTGTGTTGGTAATCTACAATTAATTAGATTAAACTCTCATACAGTATATCTCAGAAATATTGAACATAAATAAACAAGGTTGGATGCTACATACGGACTCTAACTTCTTAGTTAGATTTGTCCTATTCAGTGTTGTTTGTCTCAAGAATCAGACTAATAACAAACCTGCCGTCTAAGACAATATGATTGGTTTAGTTTATGTTTTGGTCAAGAGTGAGGGAACATGTAGCAGTTTTTGGGTCAAAATGTGTATATAATGACAGTGGTTCGACCGTTGAGACAAGAAAACGAGGAAGCAACTACTGATATTTCAAATCTGGAGACACAAAAACCATATCAAATTCAAAGCAAATGGACCCCACTTGAGAAGATACCAAAATTCTAGTTTATTCCTGAAAAGATTAAAAGAGAACTAATCAATTTGCATCATCACCAACGTAATACTTAATAGTAAGCATGAGCGAGGAAAAAAATAATTAAACCTATAATATTTTATTGAAAGTGGGTCATGATAGATAGGGTGACAAAGGGTCTTCCATGTAAAGAAAAAGCTCAACTATAAAAATACTGAACTCAGTTTTGGTGGTTTGATAAGGTCAAAAAATGTTGATACTACATATCCTGCACAGATCCTATTGTAGTGTGGACCTATTTTGAATCTCAAGATTACTTTACATAATTTGAGGTATGAGATTAAAAATAAATAAAGTGATAAAGCCAACTTTTCCCCAAAAATATTTATTGGATTTGGTATTATTTCTAAAGTTTTACCATCCATGAAATTAAGCATTAAAAGCAAAAAAAAAAAGGAAAAAAAAATGATTGATTGATTGGTTCCTGGTTGAGACAGACCGTGTTTTGATGAGATGATTGGGTTAAAAATATAATCATAATCTAATGTTAACATCATTGATTGTGATTGCCTTGATGCTTAAGCGAATTTTTTGGGTCCAGTCTCTATTATCCACAAAGTAAAAGCAATAGTCACTTAAGGCATTCACAATAATTTTCCTTCAATCCTAATTAACAACGCTTCAGGCCTGAGGGGAAAACTAATTAACAATACTTACAATCGTAATCTTTGGTAATTTTTATGATGCCATCTCCGGATTCTCTCATACGGGCTTGATCTACTTCTCCACGCGCCATCTTTCCCAGTCTGCTTAGTTTTCTTTCATCATCATAAGATAAGTTTGTGATTTTAATGCAAGTCCACGTCCATTATGTCAACAGTCAACATTTTTTCACTGTGGCATTTCCAACCTTCTCCCAATTACATAAAATTTTTCTGGAAAAATAACATAACATTGATACTGTAGTTCTACAGTACCGTCACAAAAATTATATACTCAGGCCCTGTTCATGCTTATGCTGTTTTTTTTTCCGAGTATAGGTGCATGGGTAGTTGTAAGCGCCATTTTTTATTTACTTTCCATTCTTTTTGCCCTTTTAAAGTTTTGTGTATCAACTCTCACACACACAAATTAATAAAGTAAATATGTATTTAATGTATGAAAAGTCGTAGCAAAGCAAAATTAAAAAACCCTGGGTATGGTGAGAGGGGCAATTTGGAGCATCTTTAATCATGATTTTGCCCCTAATCATACTTTTTTCAAGTACACTTTAATATTGTGCTCTTTATTTAGAGAGGTTACACGGCATGAATGGTACACATTGATATTGGCATGATGGCTTTGACTTGTGAGAAATCTCTATTGCCCAGTGGTCCCTTTCTCTCAAAAGAAATTCAGGCTATCCCTTCAATATTAGGCAGGCCCCTCTTGTCTCCTAGTCTTTTAACCTCTTGAAGCAAAGTGCACTAGATTGTTCCCAAAGATTCCCATACTAACAATGAAAATTTTTGAGTAGACACCAATATAGACCAAATTAATCATGAATACACATATAAATACATTATCAAGTAAGCTTTACTAAAGGGGAGAAAAACTTGTATGCCCATCCACAATTGATTTGATTAGTGAACTTCTTTTTAATTAAGAAGTTTGGTATTAAAGTCAAGGATTCAAATCTTCGAAATACACAAAGAAAGACAAATACTTTTAAGTAATGATAATATTGTAGAAATTATATATCTCCTTTTTTGCATAATAGAAAAAGAAAGATTTCCCTTCCCTTGTATCCAAACGCAACCTAAGAGAAGACAAGAAAAGCAGAAGGGATTCATAATAAAGGGGACAATGTAAGTGCTGAAGGACACTAGATTTCTCCGCACAACAAAAGAAGACAAATTTGTGGAGGTTCAAAAAGTGATACAAAGTGACATGCACACTATGTTATTATAATGAATGTGGGCCCTTGTGACCCCTTATTGCCACTCCATATAACAAACAAACAAACAAAGCATGGCCAACAGGCAACAAAGTGAATCCTGTTTGTCGCCCAAAGAGAGAGTGCATATATGACTTAACATATCCTCAAGAAATGACAATTCATGCAAACTGCTTTATCCATGGCCTCAATATCTTGTCCCACAAGAATCCCATGAGGTCCATTAACCCGAATGTGGGATTTTAGTTATTAAAATTATCCAGCAAAAGATAATGGAACACATTTTCATGCCACTATATGTCCACTTAAAAGCTCTCTCCACGAGAGACAAGCAATGAGCACTGAGCAGCACAAGCCCAGAAGTGGCTCTCAGGTTGAGAAGAGTATATTGAATATGGAAAATGGAAAGTCCTCCACTTCAGATGGAGAAACAAAAGTAAATCACAAACATCAACTAGGAACTAAACTCTGCAATTGCAATTAGGAATCATTCAACTACCCATCTTAACAGAGAAGAGGGCATGTAGCCTGTAGGAATACAAGTTACTGAACATGTTGAAAAATCGTGATCTATTCCTCAACATATGTGAAACCCCAAGGAAAATTTGAAAAAAGAAAAATTTAAAAGAATCATCCTTTTCAGCACAAGCATTCAAAGATCTATTAAATTGGTTCTGATGGGAGTTCTCTTTTCCTAGTCTTCCTGTGATTGTTCCATTAAAGATCCTTTTTAGCACAAGCCGTTGAAGATCTTCTAGCAGTATCTTCTGCTATTTGCCACTTCCTTACCTCCTCTCCCCTCCAACCAAACAAGATGCAGAAATACACTAACAGGCAGTAACAATAAATAAATTTGATTCTGAAAGCACAGACTAGATACACGCATCTTTATGATCCAAGTAACGTCTTGCAACAAAGCAAATATGTAAGATCAACTGACCAATGCAAGTGCATGTAAGAATACGTTCCCCAAATGAAATTACTAAACTTCGCAAGAGTCATTTTCTTCCATGCCAGTGTCTTATAAGCAACAGATGATCGTAAAAATGCAATTGCACGGTAAAGCCACCTTAGGCAACGTTTGGTACATTGGAAAATGTTTTCTAGAAAGGAAATGGGAAATGCACCTAGAAAGGAAAAGGGATAGATGTATTTCTCATTTCCTTTCTAGAAAACACTTTTCTACATAACATCGCATTAAGGGATGCAATCTATTTTCCCACAAGCACACTGCGGTTCATTTCATCAAAAACAAGTTTATAAGCCATTACATTCCATCCATTTTACTGCAACTTGCAAACAATGGTAAAGGAGGTTCTCCCTTCCCTCATTAATACACCCAATCAATGGAATGGCACATACTTGCTATTCTATTCCTTCATAAACCAAGAGAATTATGCATCCAGAAACTGGAACGTCCTTTGATTCTATATAACAAGTATCTCAATCATTTAACTAAGATGTCTTTCTCAGATATATGTTCCGACGCAGACATAATGGAAATGACCTGCACAACCAATCATTCTTAGAATAAATTACAGATATGGACAGGATTGTGGAGGCCAATTCTTCATGTAAAAGATAGGTCTGCAATCTGAAACATCAGATATCTAGAGAAAAATCTATATATTTGTACCTTTGAAACAGAGACAAATTTGTTAAATTAAAATGTGTCAAGCAACTATGCTACGTTTATTATTTTTAATGGGAGTAAAAATACAGATGGGTTTTGGTACAATATGAAATGATATCTAACAGTAAGTTTGCATTCCTATCAAACACTAACACAATCAACAGTAATCCAAGAAACTAAATGACATTAACAGATGGCCCACATTGGCAACTCACTACATGCAACCTTTTGAACAAATTCACCTCATAGTGAAATATTCTATGAAAGATAAAAGACCACCACTCCATTTTAGGTCCAGTACCAAAAGAATAATATCCATTACAACTGACACTTCAGGAATGAACTCAAATAGAAAAAGGAGAGAAAGATTTGAAAACACTATTCTGAGAAGTAAATCAGTTGGCTCATTGAATGTGCTTAGGGATTTCACCTTTTCTTAAAAGGGAAAGAGAGTATTCTGCAGCATCAATGAGGTCAACAATGTTGTGCACTGACCGTTCCTCAGAACCCAGCAAAAAAATGGCACGTACCTCTGCCTTCTTAGCCATTCTTGCAGCTAAATTAAGTGGTAACTTTGGAGAGTTAAGGCTTCTCAGTATTTGGCGATACAATGAGAGAACCTTTCCTCTATTTCGGGCCAAATCCTCTGCTGTAGCCCATATCAAGCCCTTTGCCATCTTGCAGGACTGCAACCATAAATGAAAAGGAAACCAAAAGGGCGATGGGTCAGCAGCAGCAGCAGCAGCAGTGGTGGTAGTAGTTAGTAGTAGTAGTAGTAGTAGTACTATACTAGTACTAGCACTAACAATAACAATAATTCCAAATGCAGGGCCAGGAAGCGACAGAAACACAGACACTTCAACAAAAGAAAAATGCTTCACCATTTTTCCTTCAAGAAGTGCTTCTCCGGGTGGGGGAATAACAAGGAAAGAAACTTTGTTGTGTTAGAAAAAATTGCATCTATTCATTTCAATTGGAAATGTTTCCTATGAAAAATGCAATCGTGAGGGCAGTTCAATAGGAAAAAAATAAAAGAGAGTGATGCTACCAAATATCAAAAGACGCCTACGGGCTGTAAAATTAGATAGCGGCAAATCAAGGTTGATCTCACAGAAAACTTAGTTAATCAGTAATTAGGCAATAAAAATTCTTTTTTCGTTTAAGTTGAGAAAATCAAGATTGAATTTGAATTAAGTAAAATAAACTTGAAATTAAACAAGTGAGAGTTACCAATTAGAATTGCAAAAGACAAAAAGAACAACCTAGAGCCACTAATCCATTGTTGATCCTTAGATTTTATCCCCACTAGATTAATTATACTTAATTAGTTAATCTAGAGTATTAGTAGTTAAAAGTGCTTGTTGGTCCACTTATAACTCTACCTCAAGTAATTATGTAATCTCTCACACAATTATATAAGGCGTAATTTAATCCAATTTCACTCAAATTTGATTATGCGGAGCTCTAGGAAGATGTCTATCCTAGGTACAAATTAGATCAAATCCAATTCCATATTACTTAATCCCACGGTCTATCTAAGATTCCCTTCGTCAAGGTCAATCCTAAACTCCCAAAACAAACTCAATGGTGGCCAAGCACTGAGCAGGTTAAAATTAAATACAAGATTGAGTAAACTAGAGTAAAGATTAAGCATAACCAAACAATGGGAATAATCTCTAAATTACAAACAACTTCGTAGTATCTAGGTTGCAAAATGAAATTAGCTACACATGACTAGTCAATTCAAATTCAGCAACAGTAATTCCGAAACAGGATGACATAATGGAATGGAAGAAGAATGTTAACAGTGGAATGAAAAATCTGAATACTGGAATGATGAAAGCGGAATGATTGTAAACCGGATAAGAACCCAAGTCTCCAGCAACTGTAGCTCCGTTCCAGCTCGACAATGCTTCCTTCCTACTAGAACCAGTCGGTCCAGAGAAGAAGAAGAAACGTCAATGAACCAGAGTCGGTCTCCAGCTAAGCTCCAGCAGAAGAACGGCGCACTCCCCTCTCCACAATCCGATCGGCGGCCTCAAGAGGAAGACGACGGCGTCTTCCCTCAGGTCCAGCGAATCATAAAATTACCCAGAACAGTGCGGCCCAGTCCCTCCCGCAGCCAGCTTCTCAGCCGATGATGAACAGTCCCTAGGTCTCCAAAGTGGTCTCCCCAGAACGCTGCCGTCCTTTGCTGTGGACTTCCCGAAAACTTCATTCTCCCAAACAGTGCGTTGTTCAGCAGCTTCAAACTCTCCTCCACGGTGTCGTTTCTGGCAATAATGAAAGAGGGGGAGAAGTAAAGATAAAATAAATAAAAACTAAAAGAAAAAAAATAAAATTAAAACTGAAATAATATAAGATAAATTTTTAAATTACCGATAACTACTTTTATTTATTTAAAACCAATTCATTTACAATGAAATCCCCAAATCATGCTCAAAATTAAATCTTCCAATTAACTCTTAGAAATCTACTTAAAATGTATTGATAACGCTCCAAAAATCACTTAAATACAATAATATCTTTATGGATGTTTATATATCTCTCATTATCTCCTATAATCTCTAATATATCTTATTATCTCTATATCCCACAATTATCTCCTATTATTATATAATCTGAAATAAAAGCCATGTATCATGTATTTAGGAACTCTTGAATAGAATGAGAAATACTCTCTTCTTCTATATTATTTTTCTCTATTTCTTCTTTATTTATAACACTTAAAATATTCTTTAAATATATTAAAAATAAAGAGTATCTGAGAGCGTAGCCAATGCAGCATTATTGAATTCTAATTCATCATGTTAGGATGAATTATTTAAAGAGAAGGGAGCATCAGCTGCGCCATTGTCGTTAACCAAGTCATTCTGATTTAGAAAGAAAAAATCTGTTAACTTGGTAACTTCTAGCTATACCGGAGAGCATCACATCAAAGTAAAAAATAACCAACAAAATTTAGCATTTAAAATTCACCAACGTTGCATAAGTTACCAACCTTTTACTACCATTATTTGGAATTATTAGGGAAGTAGACAAATTCCAATGCTGAAGCATAACACGAACTAAATTATTAAACATCCAAACTGAATTCCCACTAAGAGAGTACCTCAATATTGCTTCTACTAAAAAATATGCTTATGCATAGTATGAAAAAAAAAAATGCTAGTATTAAGAAGGCTTTGATGAAACATGACTGGATTCACATTAATCGGATCCTTGAAAAAATTGTTATATTAAAATAGGGGGGGGGGGGGACCAGAGACCCAAGACACTTGGCGAAGTAGTAAGGTGAGATGAAGCATAAATAGCAACCTAAATTCAAATCTGTTGTAATTAGTTACGTGGGACT